TATTTTGGTTCCTGTGGATTCGGCTTAATTTTCCTCAGCTTCAGATAGAACTTGCTTGCTTATGAGTACTTGGTGGTCTGTTTCACAATCAGCTCCTGGCCTAGTTTTTACAGCTGACATTAAGCTGCTCCTGCGGTTCTTTCTGCAGATGTAATCGATCTGATTCCTATGCATACTGTCAGGTGAGATCCATGTGTATAACCTGCATTTATGTCTCTTAAAAAACGTGTTTGCAATGAATAAGTCATTGTGCAAAATTCAATCATTCTATCTCCAGCTCCATTTCTGTCACTGAGTCCATGTTTTCCTCTTCTCTGTTACCAACTTTTGGTGGAGAGGCAGTGAACACCTCAGCTGGGCCATCGGGGTCTTCAGGCAAAGACTTAGCTCCTCACCCTCAGGCTCCTGCTGCCACTACTGACTTGGGCCTCCTGAAAACAAGATGGCCACATTCTCACCTCGCACTTGAGTGTTGTACCTGTACATCACCAGCAACACACAAAATTCACAAGCATGGTGATTCAAAAGCTGTAAGCTCTTTGCTTCAACGATTTAGATCCTCCCAGAAGAGCTGTGGGTGAGCATTAACATTACTGGTAAGTATATTCGTTTTCTCCTGGACACAAGAGCCTACTATTTGGTCCTAAAAGCCTTCTGAGGTCCCAACTCTTCTCACTATTTCTTAGTTGTTGGAATTGTCAGAAAACCTCATAAGCAGTTCCTTACTTCACCTCTGCCTTGCATGCGGACTTCTGAGCTGTAAAACAACCCAGTGGTAGATGGAATTTGCTCCAGGACTTAAGAACAATAAATGACATAGTTGAGCCTCTACATCTTGTGGTTCCTAATTTTTATACTATAATAGACAAAGTGCTAGTCAACAGGCGTTTTATTTTAAGAACTACCTTCCCTCTGTAACTTGATTTGTGCCACTATTAGAACCTCTACTTAGAATATTATTATTTTTAAATTTTTGACTCATGTGCTTTTAACTTGTTAGTTAAATTTGTATCTTCTAGGCTGCAACAGTTCCATGATATATCTTCAAGGATATGAACATGAATGGCTAAGCACAACTGATAACAGTGCATCTAAATTCCAAGATCAGTCTCCACAATAGTCTACGTGTTTCCTATTGCCAAAGGGGCCCTTTAGAGTAGTGAGAGAAGATCTTCACCTTGAAACCTACAGCGTCCCTTTTCAGCAGGAAGTAGCTAAGAGAATATGCCGTCCCCTTTTCCTTATGAATCAGGGTGAAGTCTCTCTCAGGGAGGAGTGATAGGGAATGGCAAAGGACACACTGACAAAGGAGATTAATCAGAATTGGCTTTGACAAGAGCTGTGGCAATGGAACAATGAAAACAGACTTTCAAGGGGAAAAAAAGAGGAACCAACTGGGAGGGAGGGTAGAGAAAATAGTGCAACAATGAATGAATGGAAACCCAAAATCTCTGTAAATTAATAAAATTTAATTTAAAAAAAAAGCTGTAAGCTCTTCCGCGGGGGGCTTTCCCTTCATGGCGAGCCTCTGGTGATGGTCACCTGACGCTTGAGCTGGGAACAGCTCACAGGCAAAACTATCACCTGTTCAGACCACAGGAGAGCTCGCTGGGAATGGTCTGGGTCCAGCGGTCCAGTCAGCAGCTACGATTTTCATCACTTAAGAATGATTTTTTCCGAAAGAGACAAGTAAACAACAGGACTGAGGGCACTCTAACCTTTGCCATCAAGTCAGACAGTACAGTGCCCAGGCCTTGTACTTCTACACACATATGCACAGCACACAGTATAGACATCTCCCTCTACACACATGCACAAAGCACATACATCCTCCCATATGCACACAAACCCGGTCCAGACGGCTACCTCTACGCACACAGGACAGGCAAACCTTCCAAGCGCAGAGTGCAGTGTCTGCTGCTACAGGCCCTTCCACTCCCAAGGCTGGCTCCTCTGTCTCAACTAGAATCACTCTCATTGGCTGCATAGGAGCGCTGTTTTAAGGATCTTCTGCAAGTTCTGCTCCAGCCAGCCCTGACTTAGAGCAAAGCCCGTCACATCCAGGACTGCCCATTCTGTGCTCCGGCCAGCCAGGCGGAATGTGACTTTTCTCTAAATGTGCCAGGCTCCCACTCACCTCTGGACACACAAACCACCTGGACCCTTTTCTGTTCTGTCTCATCCGAGTTCTATGTTTCAATGGGCCCTCGTGGTGTGTGTGCTGTGCTGGGCAGCTGACTATAAAGCTAGCTGACAGATGGAACCCAGCAGCGGCTCTGTGTGAGAAAAATGGGCTGTTGGCTCCAGTAAAGATTTTTAGCCTCAGAACCTGACGGAGGACTTGGCTATTAGCCAGAACTGAAGAGACTTGACAGTAGTGATTAAATGTGCACCAACTATCTCTCCGTGGAATCCTCCCAACTTCTCACTTGACGGGGACAGGGGAGGTCAGGATGTCTACATGTGGGTGGTCACAGATGTCTAGGTGAGGGGGTCACGGATGTCTAGGTGAGAGGTCACAGGTATCTAGGTGAGGGTCATGGATGTCTAGGTAAGGGGTCACAGATATCTGAGGGCAGTTCACATGTCTAGGTGGGAGTCACAGATGTCTACATGGGGTGTCATAGATGGTAGGTAGGGGGTTATGGACATCTAGGGGTGAAGAGGGTTTACCACAACAGGGTGGTGAGGGTACCATGAACCTCACCTCTCGTTCCAGGTAGGACTTGAGTGATTCCGTCTCATTGAGCAGTGTGACGCTGCACTTGCCCCTGAAAGAGACAGCTGGGGATTAGGGGCATGGTGACTAGGCCCAGTGTGGTGAGGCGGCCCAGGGCGGTGAGGAGGCCCAGCGTGGTGAGGAGGCCCAGCATGGGGACCAGGCCCAGCCTGGTGACCGGGCCCAGTAAGGAATGCAGCCCACCTGATATGGGTGGCAGGCAGGGATTCCAGCTGCCGTGACAGGAAGAGCTCTCGGTGCCGAAGCTGGTGTTTGAGCTTGTCAGGCAAGTCCACCATCTCCGGGTTCTCCATCTCCTCCTCCATCTCCCCTGAAGACAGAGGACATTAGCAGGTCCCCAGCTCAATACCACTGTGTCTTTTCACCCCCAGGCTGCCCACAGACCTGGCCTGCCACTGCCCTGGCAGTGGGGTTAGGAAGGACAGAAGGGACCACTGTGAGGTGTAGCCTTGTGGGGAGCAGCTTTCATACTCTTGGGGTAGGCAGTGGGCTCTGCTTGTGGTCTATCCCAGTCGCAGGGCCACAGAGGCCTGGATGATAGTCTCCCCCATCAGTCCTGGAGGGGGCCAGCCAGATGCCTGACAATAGACCCCACCATACAGCCCTCCCTCACAGCCCAGCGGTATGCCATACTGACCAGCACCCACAATGAGCCTGCCCCTGCCCCCACCCCCTCTCTCCCTGGAGCAGAACCAGTGCAGCTGGAGCTACTCACCTTCCTCATCATTCTCAGACCCAGGTCCAGTTTTATAGCACACTGATAAGGCTGGAAGCAGAAAGACAATGGGTGAGGTTAGTGCCCTCACAGAGAACCTCATCAGAGGACCACAGACCTCTTGTGGGGACAGGGCAGGGGTCACAGGTGATGGGACGGGGGGACAGAGAATATGGAACAGGGGACACGGTAGGTTACAGGCAGAGGGCATGAGCATGGAGCAGGGGACAGGGAGGTAAGAGGCAGAGAGCACAAGAGGATGGCATGGGGAGTAGAAGCAGGAGACATGGGGCAGGAAGAATGGCAACACTGAGAGGACTTGGGAACACAGGGCAGAGGACGTGGGGGACACAGGGCAGAGGATGTGTGGGGTAGAGGGGAGAGGACATGTGGACACAGGGAAGATGACGTAGGAGGGACACAAGGGGGAGGATGTGGGGGCATAGAGTCGAAGGTATGAGGGGTGCAGGTCACATGGTGTGTGGAGGGAGCAGGGGAGAGGGTGTGGAGGGCACAGGGTAGATGGATGGGGAGCAAGGCAGAAAGAGTGGGGTGCAGGGCAGAGGGAGTGGGGACAGAGAAAGCGTGACACAGGGCAGAGAGAGTGGGCTACGGGGCAGAAGGAGTAGGGGCAGAGAGTAGAGGACTTTGGGGGTGCATGGTAGAGGGAGTGGAGTAATAGAAGGCATGGAGGATCAGGAGTAGGGGCACAGAGGACACTGGGGGTGCAGGACAGAGGACATGAAGTGGCTGGTGCAGGGCCGCTCATGAACAAAGTCTCCAGCACAGACAGCTGACGTAAGCTTAGCCCTGAGTGGACACAGAGCCTCCCTCTGAGGCGCTCCCTCTCCTGCTCAGATCATCAGGGCAGTCTCACCCCCTGCTGGCTCTCAAGAGAGGGCCCAGGGTCCCCCAGTGCGCCCCAGGTGGACAGCCACACAAGCCTGGCCTCCTGGCGCAGGTCCATCTCTGAACAACCCGCTGCTGACCCCCTGTGGCAGCTGTGGGGAGTCTTGGCCATGTGCCCACCTGCTGGCCTTTAGTGTGTGGCTAGGGCAGGCTCAGCTCCAGGCAGGAGCGCCGCCTTCTGCTTGGTGTCCACGCAGCCAAGTCCGGGTACAGATATTACGTCCCGGCCACAATTGGCTCACCAGGCCGAGCATGGGCCGATGTCTTCCCCGTGAGACCCCCCCCCTGGCCCCCCGCCCAATGGGCAACCTGCATCCATCTTCAACCCGAGGTGAGTGCGGCCTGGAAATATCCACAGCTTTAGCCCTGGCCTCCAGGCAGGAGAAAAGAAGACCTAAGACCGTCCTTGCAGGGCTCAGGCCAGGCTAGGGAGGAGACCCCTCTGCACCCGGGCATGTAGCCACATGGAGTCCCAGCACCCCAGCACTTGGTCACCTTAGCTGTGGTCCCCTCCCCTACTGACCTTGTGGCTTCCACCCAGCAGCCCTGTTCCTTCTCCTGACTCACTCAGGAGCCTGTTACTTGATTCTCAAGTCCATCACCTAAGACGCAGTCCTTTGTCTGCTGGTCCTCCACCAAACACTGACTTCACAGGTCCAGATCCATCCCCTGCCCACCCACCTCTTCACACAAGCCAAACCAACTCAAGTGCTGTTCAAGCTGACCGATGGTGGGGCCCTCGCTGTGATGACCACCCGCTAACCCCAGCTACACAAACACATACACACATGCACTCACATACATGTGCACTTGGTACATAAAGACACAGACATACAACATACACAATGACACAAACTGACACATGTACACTGTTACACACACAAACATGACACAAATGTGTCAAAAGATACACACACACAAACAAAAATGCACAAGGACACACAACTTGAGCCTCCAGCTGGGTCCCCCCGCCAGAAGCCTTACAGGACACGGGACTAGTTCTGGGCAGATGTCCCAGGAACGAGGTAGGGGCTCTGCTAAGTACCAGGGGCTCAGAGCCAACTACCCATGAGCTCCACAAAAGTGGTGGAAAAGCCCGTACCACATGCCCTCTGAGGACACTGGTCACATGCCAGATCCCACCTGCCTTCTCCTGAGCCCCTTGTCCAGGCTTCTGGGAGCCTGCAGGCATAGAGGCCCAGCCCGAGCAGCAGGCCAACATGGGGTCGTCTGTCACCCACTTGGCAAGTGTTGGGCCTCCCTCCCTCCCAGCCTCCCCTCAAAAAGGCTTGTTTGATGACGGTCCAGAACAGATCAGGCCTGACAGGGAACCCTCTTCCTGATGCCTGGGCACAAACCCACTCCTTGGGACCCCAGCTTCTGTTCTCAATTGCTGGCCAGGGAGCAGGGCACAATCATCGATTCTAAATACAGCTGTCTTGGACATCACTGGGGCTGAGGCCCATCTCAAGACACAGTGGCCATGCTACACAACTTCTCCAGAGCAGGTGCCCAGAGAGGTGGTCTCCCTCTGGGCTAGCCATGCCCATGAGGGCTGAGGGTGCATTGCAGGGAACCAAGGTCAGGTGCATGGCATGAGCTGGTAGAAACAGAAGGTTAGCCTCAAGTCCGCACCTCCAGGGCCTGGGATGCCAGAGGAAGACCACCAGGTCACAGGCCAACCTGTGCTGAGCCTTTCCACCTGACCCCTACTTCACAGTCAAGGCCTATGAGGACCATCCTATGAGGCAGACACTGACCACTCCAGGAGACCTGAAAGGGCTTGCTGAGGTTTGGTCACAAAGGGCTGTGACACAGGCATCTTCTGTCCCCACCTGCAGCCACCCACTCTTCTACAACTGAGGTCCCATGTGGGAATGAGGACGTTAGCCCACGGCTCAGGGAAGAGTTGACGAAGGCACTTGGGTCAGGGTTTTGAGAACAGGGCTGTGTGCTCCAGAGCACAAGGGAAGGGGACAGGACGAGGTGTCTGCTCCGTGTGACGGGGAACTCTCTCAAACTCATCTCATTAGAATACACTTTTTGGGCCATGCCCTGTGGGTGAGCATGGAGGCCACAGGGCAAAGCTGGACTCACTGGCATGCTTGTCAGCCAGGGCGATGAGTGTGCTGGAGATGTCCCGGCGTCGGTAGAAACACACCACCTTAGCCTCCACGTTCCCATTCGCCGTCTGCAACAGAAGAGGACATGAGAGTGTACCTGGGGGCATGGGGCCTCTACGAGGTGGGCCCCACATGGGGACCTATCCATTCACCCTCAACTTCCACTGAAGCAGGCTTCCTGCACCCTAAGATCATGGGGGCAAACAGAGAAAAGGTAAAGCTTGAGGGCCCCACCTGCCTGTGAGTCCTCCCCGCACTCCCAGGAGGTGGGCTTGGGGGGGCCCAGAGCAGGACAGACCCAGCAGTGCCTGAGACTGGACTGCAGTGGACTGGCCTGAACATCCTCCCCGGGGCCTCACGCTGTAGCTCTAGACCTTCCCTGCCTTTAGCCTGAGCACCAGCTGGCTGTGTGGCACCGTGGCACCTGGACACAGACACACCTTCACGGCTGGCAGGTGTGCCACTTCTCCTCACCAGCATGTGTGTGTTGTTGACGACAAACCAAGCAGGACCAGTGGGACTCTGATGCACCCACACCCCTCTGCCCACTGTAGCACTGCCCAACAGCAAGGGGCCATCCCCACCCATGTTCACCGACAGAGGAGGTACTGAACGTGCTGGGTGCAGTGTGCCCACATGATGGAACGGCGCTGCAGCCAGGAGAAACGAAGTATGTACTATGACACACATGAGCCTTAAAACGATGCTGCATGCATGAACTCAGACATGAGAGCTCTGCTGTATGAGCCATGCTGCCCACAGGTCACCAGAGGACGGAGAAGGGGTCACTGCTCTGACAAGGATGACAGTGGTGATAGCTACAAGAGTGTAATCTATGTCACTGAATTGTTCAAGGAAAACTGGTTAAAACAACAAATCCTTTCTTTGATATGCATGCTTACCACAACTACATGTCTTAATCGGAAAGCCCCGCACGGGCATAGGGAGTTAGGATGCCACATGTGTTAAACGCGGCTGCCTCCAGTTCCCCAGGCCAGGGACACAGTGCCAGTCAGCATGCGTTCTATGGGCTGGGGAGGAGGGCTCAGGACTGTGAGGGCCTCTGTAGGAGGGCAACCAACCTAAGCTCCCTTAGACAAAGAACTTTAGAAACAATGTTGTTTTTTAAACTAACATGATTTTGTCCAATTCTTAATAATTCTCATCTCAATTGATTGGTTAGGGTAATAGCGTTTATTGTTATGTGGCATTGAGTCACCTACAACTCCTAATGCTCCTATGTACATGAGCTCTGAACCCTGCTCTATCCTGAGACAATCTCATTGTTTCCAACAGACCTAATCCCTTTTCTCCAGTCACTGAGTAAATCCATCTCATCCCGGGTCTTCCTCTCCTACAGTGGTCCTTACACCCTTCCAAGAATTATGTCCTTCTCTGAGGACTGGACCCTGCTGGTCTGGTGCCCCAGGTATGTGAGAATGAACTTCAAAATCCTTGCTTCCAGGGAGTGGCCCGGTTTCATCCTCTCCAGGACAGACCTGTTTATTCTCCTGGAAGTCCATGGTATGTTAAACACTCTTCTCCCGCACCATAACTCAAAGGAATCAATTCTTCTATTACCTTTAATTACTGTCCAGCTCTCAGATTCACAGCAAGTAACTACAAAACCATGGCCTGGATCAGGCACACCTTAGTCCCCACACTGACATCATTGTTCTTTAGTACTCTTGAGAGAGACCTGGCATCAGACTTTTCCAATGGAATTCATCTTTTATTTCCTAACTGCTAATGCCAAGAGTGTTGACTGTGGAA